GGATAAATTTCCAGAAGAAGATGCTGCAGGCAGTGAAACACTTACGCAAATACAGTATAGACCAGGAGGCGGTAGGCACCGCATGCATGGACCATCATATCTTCGCAACGTAACTAGGGAGGCTCGATTGGAGTACTTTGCAATCCTGAGAGATGCGACTTTGACCATAGCTCAACAAAAAGTGAAGATCTTTGAGTGGGCGGATAGGAATGGAGTTGCGGTATGTTATTCAATCACTTGGCTACGTTGCTGTATTATGTATTGCAGGAGCACCTTACTGCCTACAATGTGAATGAGACTTTGATGAAAGAAGAAATGAGACGAAATGTTTCCCAGGTTATGTCTGAACTACCCTATGCAGTGCAGAGAATGCAAGAAGTTATAGATAACGAAGAGCAAACTTATGCACAGCAGCGCCAGGCTCTTCGTAATCTAACGATGGAAAATCCGATTGTTAGTCAAATAATTCCTTATAAAAAATTTCTCTGATTTTTGTTTTCAGCTTTATCGCGCCGCCAAATTTGTCAATGACTTATTTTCAAGGCGGTGTTGTGGAGGCAGAGGTGGTCCTGGTCCTCGTGGTGGTCCTGGTCCCCGTGGTGGTCCTAGACCCCGTGGTGGTCCAAGAGGACCTGGAAGACAAACGGATTCATCGTTTACTGGATATGACGAGGACATGGAAGGTACATTCAAAACTGTTGGAAACCTCTATGATTCTTTGCTTCCTAGAGGTTTGAGACCGCGGATTCAAGGATTTTCGCGAAAACAGCTGCATTTACCCGATTGATAGAATAAGCTATGTTGATATAATTTTTAGGAATAATTGATATTTGCTATATTCTGTTCATGTACCTGTCTGTAAACACATTATAATTTGTATTTCTGATTCATTGCTATTGTAGATGATGGTATAGTCAGATAGTCTAGAAGAAAATGCTGGTATTTAGAAACCGTTGTCAATACCGTATGCAAAAATTAAAATTTTTTTCGTAAGCTTCAATTATGCTTTATAATTATTGTAGAATCAAACACCAATAATAACACTAAAACAAGAGTATCCGGTGGTTTGCCCTTCCGAAATTGCAGATCAAAGTTTAGTGGCAACTAT